TTTGACCCTGATGTATTGTTAGCTGTATGATTTGACCCTGATGTATTGTTAGCTGTATGATTTGACCCTGATGTATTGTTAGCTGTATGATTTGACCCTGATGTATTGTTAGCTGTATGATCTGACCCTGATGTATTGTTAGCTGTATGATTTGACCCTGATGTATTGTTAGCTGTATGATTTGACCCTGATGTATTGTTAGCTGTATGATCTGACCCTGATGTATTGTTAGCTGTATGATTTGACCCTGATGTATTGTTAGCTGTATGATTTGACCCTGATGTATTGTTAGCTGTATGATCTGACCCTGATGTATTGTTAGCTGTATGATCTGACCCTGATGTATTGTTAGCTGTATGATTTGACCCTGATGTATTGTTAGCTGTATGATTTGACCCTGATGTATTGTTAGCTGTATGATTTGACCCTGATGTATTGTTAGCTGTATGATTTGACCCTGATGTATTGTTAGCTGTATGATTTGACCCTGATGTATTGTTAGCTGTATGATCTGACCCTGATGTATTGTTAGCTGTATGATCTGACCCTGATGTATTGTTAGCTGTATGATCTGACCCTGATGTATTGTTAGCTGTATGATTTGACCCTGATGTATTGTTAGCTGTATGATCTGACCCTGATGTGTTGTTAGCTGTATGATCTGACCCTGATGTATTGTTAGCTGTATGATCTGACCTTGATGTATTGTAAGCTGTATGATTTGACCCTGATGTATTGTTAGCTGTATGATCTGACCCTGATGTGTTGTTAGCTGTATGATCTGACCCTGATGTGTTGTTAGCTGTATGATCTGACCTTGATGTATTGTAAGCTGTATGATTTGACCCTGATGTGTTGTTGTTAGCTGTATGATCTGACCCTGATGTGTTGTTAGCTGTATGATCTGACCTTGATGTATTGTAAGCTGTATGATTTGACCCTGATGTGTTGTTAGCTGTATCTTTGACCCTGATAAATTGTTAGCTGTATGATTTGACCCTGATGTATTGTTAGCTGTATTATTTGACCCTGATGTGTTGTTCATTTTCTGATATGCCGTGATGCTGATATAAGGCACGTGTGAGGAAGATTAAGAGACTCTGGAGAGACAATCATGTATGCTCCATTATCTGTCTACTTAGTCATGGCCAATCCTGCACTGTAAGTCCCCGGTAATCAATACAATATCTACTTTGTCTCGGCTGTATGCTGCAAAATGTCCACACTTTGTTTGAACATTATAATGTAAACCGCAAACAACTCTCACCACATAACAACACGTTATATATATACATATATACATCTTTGTCACAGAAAACAGGTCAAAGGTCAGATACATAAAATTGAAAAAACATAAAAATACATGTAAAAATAGCAGCGGATGAGATGCCATTATCATTATCATGCTCTTAGAGATTTTTTGAAGACCAACTGTTTTTTGAATCACTGTTTAGCTCACTTAATGTTCTCTACATTATTGCGTGCAGTTGTTTTCGGTGTTTGGTAGTTTTTTATTCACTGCCAACGTAGAAATTTTATAGACGGCTTCAATCACTGTCGAGTGCAGTCAAACTAAATGGTTTTATACACTGTAACACTACAAGGTGAAATTACACCATGATGTTCCATTCATGCAAGCCTGTATCGTCCTGGCACAGGACTACTTCATCAGATTCCTGACAGAACTTTTAACAGATGGTTCTTTAAATAATCTTGAACCCTGTTTGTACTGTCAGATCTACTCATTCAGCCCTCTAATGTGAAACCACCTGTGTTAAGAACCCACTTTTTATGTTCCCCTTAGTTATAATTTCTTGATGAACTGAATCCTTATTAAGAGACCACCTAGGTTAAGAGACCACTTTTTATGTTCCCCTTGGTAATAATTTCTTGATGAACTGAATCTGTATTAAGAGACCACCTGTGTTAGGAGACCACTTTAAATGTTCCTCATTTTTATGTTTTCTTTATGAGCTGAACCTCTATTTAGTGACCACCTCTGTTAAGAGATCACTTGTGTTCAGAAACCACTTTTAAAGTTCCCCTTTGTAATGATTTCCTTATGAGCTGAACCTGTATTAGGAGACCACCTGTGTTAGAAACCACCTGTGTTAAGAGACCACTTGTTTATCGTTATTTGTGTAATGATCAAACACATGTCTGTGGTAGTCGGAGGGTTGAACACTTTAATGTAAGTTACACCAGCTAAAAGTCTACTTATTATCTTTACTTTTGTTGGGTTGTATTAGATTTAACGTCCTCCTCAAGACATCCCCTTTACTTTTTGTAAGATAATGTCTCAAGGAGAACTATAATAATATTTCTATGGCATTTTGGTGGCTCTTAACTAATACTGTCAGCTTAACTATTAACCCATTTATCCCCAAAGTCACATTTGAACCTTACCAAATCAAAGACTGGGCAAGTCCAGTTTAAATTTGTAGGGGTGAATGAGTTCAATCTGCACTCTCAGCTTAAGTTATTGTGCAGAAATTAATTTTTCGTCTGACATACGCCTTGTTTTATTCACAGAACTAGCACCTGGGTCACTTAATGTGTACTATCAGAGTTGAGGGAAAAGTATTGTTATATAAGTCTAAAAAAAACGGTTGGTAGAATTGTCTCCCTTGGTCTTCTCTTCACATGCCACACCTGATCTACAACATTGTTGTCGTGGTAATACTGCCACTAACAGGTTACCACGGCAACTTGATCAGGTGTACAGCGACAAAGAAACGAGCATCAATTAGCCACTGGTTCTACGATATCTCAATCTTGCATGTAAGTTCTCACTGCAGTGTGATGGAGCAGGTTTTACGAGTGCATGAATTGTTTATTCGCTTGTGTTAGGAAGGAATACTCCTTGGTGCATATTTGTAGTCACAACTTCTTATACAAAACATATGCTGCTATTGGCTATAAATACATAGCTTGTCTAGTCCAGAATATTTGGAAGGGTTGGTGTGGGGCTTTGACGTCAATCCAGCTATATCAGCACACAAACGATCACAGAAACAAACATGAATCGCCCATTAGCTTTAGACTAATGCTGATATTCAAGTTTATCATTAGTTTGAAATTATTGGCCAAGACAAAGAATGCCCTCCAATTTCTAATTATGAGTTTTCTCATTAGTGATGAACAATTGTAGGTACTGAATTCTTGTACAATGAAGAACTGCCGTGTGACCTTGTACTGTGACCTTGCATTGTGACCTTGAACTGTGACCTGGCATAATGACCTGGTATTTTGACTTGGCATTGTGACCTTGTACTGCAACCTGGCACTGTGACCATGTACTATGACCTGGCATTGTGAATTTGTACTGTGACCTGCATTAAGACCTCGTTTTGACTTGACATTATGACCTTGTACTTTGACTTGGCATTGTGACCTTGTACTGCAACCTGGCATTGTGACCTTGTACTGTGACCTGGCAATATGACCTTGTACTGTGACCTGAAATTATGTTCTTGTACTTTGACTTGGCATTATTACCTTGCACTGTGACCTGGCATTGCAACCTGGCATTATATGGCCTTGAATTTTGACCTAACATTGTGACCTTTTACTGTGACCTGGCATTACGACCTTGTACTTGATCTAGCATTGCGACCTTATTCTGTGACTTGGCATTGTGAACTTTTACTGTGAAATAGCGTTATGACCTTGTACTACATGTATGATCTGACATTGTGACCTTGTACTACATGTATGATCTGACATTGTGACCTTGTACTCTGACCTGGTATTGTGATTTTAGAATAGTGTCATTCTTGCCAACTTTAGTACCTGCAAGATAACCTTTTCCCCTACCTCTAATCCAGTATGGTAGTAAAAATTGACACTGACATATTTTTAATCAACAATAAATAATATACATTTTCTAGATATTGTACAAATTAATAAAGCAGTAAAAAGTATGGTATACTCCAGATATACTAAAAACTAGAGCAGTCTGCTAAAGCTTAAATAACAAAAAGCTTCTTTTCCATAAGCCGATACAGTGTTTTCGGTAGATATTCCACCATTGATCAAAAAGACAATTTAATTATGTTGTATAATAAAGTATTAGATATGTCACATTTAAGAGTTATCAGCTTACAAGAAAAAGAACATTTGAAAATCAAATTATCTTTTTTATGCAATTTCTTGTCAGAGTTTAGAAAAATGTAGCTCCTTTGTTCTGCACAAACTTCCATGCAAGATACAAGAGGTGTCTGTTTTTAATAAGAAAAGATTGGAGGATGATATATATTATTTATCTAGCTATACAGTAAAATACTACTGCATAATTCTAGTACTTTAAAAAAAATCTAAATGTTTAATGATGTATGTGACATTGAGGTAAACTGCCTCACTTTGGAATATTTGTTGGGGAGGGAGAGGGGTGGGCGGTAGATGATGGGTGGTGCTACCCTGGGGTGGGGGATCAGTGACCTAAGCTGTTAGGGGAGACTTCCTTAGGTTTCCTGTTACATTACCAGGCATATCATCTCCCCAGGTGTCCACATCTGTTTAATAAGGCTCTCCGGTAAAGCTGGTCACTGCATGCTGGCTGAGATGTATGGGCAGTATTGAGGAAGCTTTGTATTTACAGTCACTAATAAGTTTACACAGCATTATGGAGAATTACAGACCACTGCTTTAGACAGCAAACCTATCAAACGGTATTTAAAACTAGCCATAAACAAATTGGATAGTACATGTTGGAATGACTCTGCTGAAATCTATTTCTTTTAGTAACCATGGTTATTAAAAGTTTTGGCCAAATTTCTACAAGTAATGAAATTAGAAGCTGAATGTTCTTTAATTTTATTCAACAACATCTATGAGTATAGCCTATAGCTAGCTGCTACATAGGTATATGGGGACCAGTGATGTAGACCCTCATGTAAGATACATATATACTAACACTGAACCACAGCCTGTGGAGTGCTCCAAATAGTTGGTACATATATACCTACAAATGAATTCTCTCTTTTTCTGATTTTCCACAGCACTCATCTTGAGAAGACTGGTCAGATCCAGGCCTGCAACTACCCCAGGCTCGTGTGTATATTGCCTGGATTCTTGCAGTTGATGAGTGGATGATAGGAACCGCCTGTGTGTGAGACTGTTTGTGCTCTAACAGGGAGTTTACAAGGATTACCAAAGATAACATGGATTACAGGAGGATAATTACCTGACGTTCAGAGGTCGATCAGAACGTACATCCTGAGTAATAACATTTTGCTTGCAGGTGAGTTTTTGAAGTAGTTATTGATGAGCTTACGAAACAGTGACTGCACAGTTTAAATGTTTACAACTATTGTAATTCTAATAAAAAAATCAATATTTGATCTACGTTAACAGTTAGCAAAACAACAGATGTCAGATACTGACTTTGAGTTACCTTTCTATCCCAGTGAATTTTAAAGTCCCCTCCCCCGGCCATGTATTCCCTATCTGAGGTCCGAAACAACAAATGTCGGGTACTGACTTTCAGTTACCCGCCTATCCCAGTGAATTTTAAAGTCCCCTCCCCAGATCATGAATCCCCTCTCCCAGGTCCACACAGTATATTTTCACCCTCCTATAAAAATTTCGCTACCCAACCTATTTCCCATTTACTATATGTACTGTTTAACCCCCCCCCCCCCTTCCACATAACCTCTGGACCATGTATTCAGCACAAATTGGTCATCTACAGCACAAGCTTGTCTGACAGAATTTTGGAGGGCAAATCTGGGCTGTGAATGAATGATTTTTTAGAACAGCGCTGTACACATCATTGTACAGGTGTGTGTAGATGGCTGAGGCCTTGGGCTGATCCCATCTCATAGCCATCCTTGTAAAATTGAACCTGTTGATGCCTATATACATATTCACAGCTATTTTAATGCCAGTGAAAGTTGAAACCCTTCACGAGCCTGATGACTTAATAACATTGGTAGATACAGCAGCTGGTCTGCTGATAATTAATGATGTTCAGTGAAGGATTATATTTACTACAGGGTTGCTGAACCTCTGTGGCCTTCAGTTACCTATCAACGGAGTGCCAATCTCCCCTCGACAAACCCTCTATCTTCCTCAATATTATACCATGCAGCAATCCCCTCGACCTTTGCCCCTCCATCTTCCTCAATAACTTACAATAGGTTATTATAAGGATCCCAAACCCCTCATTTCTTAGCAGAGGATTGAGACCAGCAGAGACCGGCAACATTGCTATGGAGCTATAGATATTCATTAAATGGGAGAAGATTGGGGATGTTTGGGTAGGTTGGGGGGGGGGGGGGTTGGGGGTTTGGGGTTGGGGGGGGGGTATTAATGCCTACAGATTCAAGATAATTAGAATCTGTGTACCTAGTGTGAGGTACCTATGACCTTGTCAGCATCTGATAATTAGGTCAAGGTCATAGCAGTGACCAGTAACTATATATATATAATGGTCTTAACCCTGAGGCAAACCAGCTATCCATAGAATGATTGCAAGACCCTGTTCAGAGGTCCAAATACAAATTACTTCTCAGCTCTAGGAATCAAAGCGTGTCTATCAGCTCGCGGGAGTTGAAATTCTTTCATAAGCGTTTAATGTAAACATGTGCTGAACAGTGTCTTTACCGTGTTCTGCCTGATTTTCTGAGTTAATGCCCGTTTTATGTCTCTCTATTACTGAGTTATTGCACAAACGCCCAGGATTTATCATTTGAAGATGATTTGATTTCATCTGAGGTTGTAAAGGGATTATGGTTTTGGCATGCAATCAGTGGGAAGTAAAAGCCATGAAATGTTTATTTATAAATGTCAGTTACAAGTTCATAACCATGGTTTTGTAACATTTTATGACCTTAGTGTAGAAAGGTCATACAAACCACTCACTCCTGTCAGCTAGTGATGGAAATAGAAGCTCAAGGTTATGAATATATACAGGATATGTATGTATTGTTTTGGAAACTATAGTTTCATGATTTACAGGTTAACTCAATCATTTTATAATGAACTATTCCATCCTTTGAATTGGGAGAGTTTAATTGTGTCTTCAGTGCATGGTGAATAATTTGAACTCTTCCATTTTAAAGGTTGGAAGAGTTCATTATAAAATTTCAGGGGTGAATGAGTTAAGGATACCTGTCCCAGGTATTGCACTGAGGTTGTTCCTATATACAGTAACCTACCATAAATTTTGTTTTGGATATAACTGCAGCACAGGTGGGTCAGAACACTTCCATTGACCAGGTAGCTCTGTTGGTTAAAGCGATAGTATAACAATCTAAGGTTCTGGGTTCAAATCCTGTTTAACCTCACATACTGTTCACATTCATAACACTGTTGTTGATGATATTTTGTTTATTTCATCCATATTATGTTTTTAAAGACATCTCCCCATGAATGGTTCTCTTTTCTGAAATGATTAATCAAAGCTATAGTCATGCCAGAAAAATAAGTTTCGATCACAGTTACAGTGTTTGGCAGTGGTACGGGGATCCTTAAGTCTTAGTTCAGAGGTTTAGGGTTTGAATCCTGGTCTGGCTATTGAGATTTCCGAGTCCTTCTATATTTCGTGCCTGGATATTTATATGAATGGAATATGGTATTCTTTATGTCTTTAGTATTGACTTCGTTCAAGAAGGGAAAAATGAAGTGGAACTGGAATAATGGTCGGGTCATCATTGACCGGGTGACTAAGCTGGTAACTAGTAGATCATCCATCTAGAGTTCAGAGGTAACTGGTTCAGTGTGACAATCTTCCACTCTTTTTCTTCTTCTTCTTCTTCTTCTTCTTCTTCTTCTTCTTCTTCTTCTTCTTCTTCTTCTTCTTCTTCTTTTAGAGTGTAAAACTCATTAGGGGATTTTCACTCCTTAATATATTAGTCATACCTGTCCATACCACTTTTGACGCAATCAGGGCTTATAGATTGGCGATTCCTGTCCTTCCGTCTGTCTGTCTGTCTGTCTGTCCGTCTGTCTATCTGTCCGTCTGTCTGCGCTAAGGTTAAGAAGAATGGTTTAGCTCAGTTTCAAAGTTAACTATTATCCCACAACAACTAAACTTGCATGGCTTATGTATCTAACTAAGCTATTCATATGCGATGCTTCGGATGCAGCTTCTGACCTACATTTTCCGCTTCAGTGACCAGGTTATTAAGAAGTTTGGTTGAGGTCAGGCCCCATCTGCACTATGGTTAAGAAGATTGGTTTAGGTCACTAACCAGTTGTATTTGGTGTCCTTTCTACTGTCAACCATGACTTTGTCTTAGTTGTATATGGTATCCTATCTACTGTCAACCATAACTTTGTCTTAGTTGTATATGGTATCCTATCTATTGTCAACCATGACTTTGTCTTAGTTGTATATGGTGTCCTATCTACTGTCAACCATGACTTTGTCTGAGTTGTATATGGTATCCTATCTACTGTCAACCATGACTTTGTCTTAGTTGTATATGGTGTCCTATCTATTGTCAACCATAACTTTGTCTGAGTTGTATTTGGTATCATATCTATTGTCAACGATGACTTTGTCTGAGTTGTATATGGTATCCTATCTACTGTCAACCATGACTTTGTCTTAGTTGTATTTGGTGTCCTCCATAACTTTGTCTTAGTTGTATATGGTTTCCTATCTACTGTCAACCATAACTTTGTCTGAGTTGTATTTGGTGTCCTATCTATTGTCAACCATAACTTTGTCTTAGTTGTATATGGTTTCCTATCTACTGTCAACCATGACTTTGTCTGAGTTGTATTTGGTATCATATCTATTGTCAACCATGACTTTGTCTGAGTTGTATATGGTATCCTATCTACTGTCAACCATGACTTTGTCTTAGTTGTATTTGGTGTCCTATCTACTGTCAACCATGACTTTGTCTTAGTTGTATTTGGTGTCCTATCTACTGTCAACCATGACTTTGTCTTAGTTGTATTTGGTGTCCTATCTACTGTCAACCATGACTTTGTCTTAGTTGTATTTGGTGTCCTATCTACTGTCAACCATGACTTTGTCTTAGTTGTATTTGGTGTCCTATCTACTGTCAACCATGACTTTGTCTTAGTTGTATTTGGTGTCCTATCTACTGTCAACCATGACTTTGTCTTAGTTGTATTTGGTGTCCTATCTACTGTCAACCATGACTTTGTCTTAGTTGTATTTGGTGTCCTATCTACTGTCAACCATGACTTTGTCTTAGTTGTATTTGGTGTCCTATCTACTGTCAACCATGACTTTGTCTTAGTTGTATTTGGTGTCCTATCTACTGTCAACCATGACTTTGTCTTAGTTGTATTTGGTGTCCTATCTACTGTCAACCATGACTTTGTCTTAGTTGTATTTGGTGTCCTATCTACTGTCAACCATGACTTTGTCTTAGTTGTATTTGGTGTCCTATCTACTGTCAACCATGACTTTGTCTTAGTTGTATTTGGTGTCCTATCTACTGTCAACCATGACTTTGTCTTAGTTGTATTTGGTGTCCTATCTACTGTCAACCATGACTTTGTCTTAGTTGTATTTGGTGTCCTATCTACTGTCAACCATGACTTTGTCTTAGTTGTATTTGGTGTCCTATCTACTGTCAACCATGACTTTGTCTTAGTTGTATTTGGTGTCCTATCTACTGTCAACCATGACTTTGTCTTAGTTGTATTTGGTGTCCTATCTACTGTCAACCATGACTTTGTCTTAGTTGTATTTGGTGTCCTATCTACTGTCAACCATGACTTTGTCTTAGTTGTATTTGGTGTCCTATCTACTGTCAACCATGACTTTGTCTTAGTTGTATTTGGTGTCCTATCTACTGTCAACCATGACTTTGTCTTAGTTGTATTTGGTGTCCTATCTACTGTCAACCATGACTTTGTCTTAGTTGTATTTGGTGTCCTATCTACTGTCAACCATGACTTTGTCTTAGTTGTATTTGGTGTCCTATCTACTGTCAACCATGACTTTGTCTTAGTTGTATTTGGTGTCCTATCTACTGTCAACCATGACTTTGTCTTAGTTGTATTTGGTGTCCTATCTACTGTCAACCATGACTTTGTCTTAGTTGTATTTGGTGTCCTATCTACTGTCAACCATGACTTTGTCTTAGTTGTATTTGGTGTCCTATCTACTGTCAACCATGACTTTGTCTTAGTTGTATTTGGTGTCCTATCTACTGTCAACCATGACTTTGTCTTAGTTGTATTTGGTGTCCTATCTACTGTCAACCATGACTTTGTCTTAGTTGTATTTGGTGTCCTATCTACTGTCAACCA